TACAGTGACTTTATAAGGACAGTGGCGACAACTTATCATAATCCGCCATATTGGAGCTAAAAAATTGATTGTAAGATCAATATACCTTGTCATGTCAAATTGTGAGCGTAGAATAATAAATGTCAGTTTCATTTAAGTAAAGATTCTTGTTCAAAACGAACGGCGCAGAAATGATCGTTTAAAGCTTTGAAGAACAACCTATGGGAAAACAAATGCCTCCCAAATTCAAAATGGTATGGGTATATGGAAAACGGTATAATAAGTATGACATATGGTGCAATATCCAAAATGTACATATAAATAATCATTAAATTGTGTTTGACATTTCAGTGTCTTCTGTCCCCTGTCGCGTGTTGCTCCTTCCAGACTTAAAAGTATTTCTTTAGTCTCTTAAATGGAAGACAAAACACGTTGATCTAGTCCACGGAGTACAAGAGATCAATATTCCATGTGCTCCAGCAAACATGAAACCAATTCAAGCGTATTTACGATCACAGTTGAATTTGCTGCTAAATTTCGGATAAGCTGCTTCTCTAACCAGTTTTCTATCTAAACTCATTAGGTATTTAGGGCTTCTGAAAAAAATTTTACATCAATTACCACTCGTAAGGTTAGGCACAGTTTTACATCTAAAAACACTAAGCGAATTACATACCTTATAATATCGTAATAAATCCAAACTATATGCGTCTTTAAAAATCGAGTTTATATAAAACTGGAGACGGAAAACGTAAAATAAAGCAAATACAAGAAGCAAAGTGTAAACTAGTAACATGAAGCCGTGACAATTACAGGTGACACTGTTAAAACAGTATAATTAATAATTATAGCACGGAGTGTACCGCGTCGTTTTGAAGGTTTTCTATTGGCCAGTTTGGAATTTAGCTCCAATATGGCGACCGGAACCAACGACCAATCAAAAACGAGATACCCTGTTGTCGCCACTGTCTCTATAAAGTCACTGTAGGTTCGTCTAGGGTTGAAAAGGCCCTTGAAAACTGTAGAATGGATTGTCTGGAAAAAACTTGAGGAGATGAAAAGCATAGGATCGCTTAAATCCTTTTTCTAATCTTCTAGGGCTTTTAATAATGTGCTAGCGTCTATCCAGAACTAGTTACCCTTCTAGATAAGTAGTTAGTCTTAAGTTGCAACCTCCTTGGCAATATTTAATATTTATTTAGTGGGTTTTTTTATGGATGCATGGCGGCAGTGGGCTCACCTTCGATAGTGGAAATCGTTGTGAGAAGTCGCGCAGTATGTCGAGTAGATGCTTTCGCCCATTCTGTGGCGATATTGGGAGTAGGCATTCGTATGCGTATGACTTAGGTGGGGTCTATCGCTAGCCACAAAATTCAGCAGAGATGTTTCAGACTACCCATCTATGATGGGCCTCAGACTACCAAGCTCTGAAGGGTGTCAGACTATCAAGCTGTAGGCTTCCGGCGGACTCTACCGGTTGGTCGACCCGCTTTGACCAGAGCGCGTCGGAACTGCGTGGTCGGGTGTGGTTTAGATGCTAGGGAAAAGTGCGCCTGAACTCCCCCTTGCTGGCTGGTTTTTATCGGATCATTGTCGTCTCCCGTCGTATAGCGCTACCGTTTGTGTTTTTTTCGGAACCGGTCTCTCTATTTCCGTTTCGGTATAGGTATGCGATTTTTTTCTGAAATTGTCATTTGGTTTCCTTTCTTTGCATGTAAGCACTTTGGCCGTTCGACCGTACGCCATTGACAGTATGACAGTTGAGGCAAATTACGAAGGTCCTTAGGTACTGTTTTCTGCGAGATGCTACAGAATCCCGTTTGTCGTAGCTGTATTCGCTAGAGCTACGCTACAGTAACGAAAATATGAAATATTTTAGATAACAGAGTGTCGGAACAGGTTCTCACAAAAGGAAAGGGGAGGGCCTGGACCAGAGGCATCCGTTTCTCCTTATTTTTACTATTGATATTTTGAACTTCAATTTACGGATAAGATTTCGTGGAAAAATTCCTCTATTGGAAATCGTATGCGATTGCTAATATCTTGTTCCACACGGGAGCGGGGAGTGTTATTGTTTGTTCATGAGTTCAACACGCTTTCTACACTTATTAGACATCTTTCTAACTTTGCTTCATTTGTGTGTCTAGCTATCTTTGGTCGGGAATTGAACATGAACCCTTATTTACTGTCTGTGTCTGTATCGTCAATTCTGTTAAATTTCCTCCCAGGGCAAAACGTTTTGTTCGAACTAGAATGGAAAAAGGCACATTTTTGATTGCAAAATGAATCCACTTCTTTTGATAAACAAACAACTGTAAACAGTGCATGTGCATCGATCCTGTGTCTGTTAAGTTTATTTCCCAGGAAGGACTGTACTATGTTGCAGAATTTTTAGTTCCAACTTGACCTGAGCAAGGCACGCGTACGTTCGAGCGCAAAATTAACTCTCCAACGACTCCAACTTGCTATTTTGCTAGGATATAGGCTGTGAATACTTCAAGCCTTATACTAAATGAGCTAGAACTGCAGTATAGGATTTGTTTCAACTGGAATTGGAGGAACCTTTTCGATTGTACAATAAACTCGCCATTTATTTATTGATAAAGAATGCATCAAACTACATTCGATGATAGAAGCAGAAATTGATAAGATTGGATCAACGTTTTTGGATACCTTTCAGCAGAAAAAATAGCACCATTTTCGTAGTGAATTGCTTTTCAGGAAAAGTAATACGTTTTAGATACAGATTTACAAGTACAGTTAACTCTATAATTGAAACCGCATAATACTCTATATCTAGAGTTACATTTACACATTTTTTTAGAATAATTATAACGAGAGTTATGGCTGATATATCATTAGCAAAACGTTCACTTTTAAACAATCCATCAAAAAGAGCAATAATGGAAAGATCCAATACTCGCTCTACATGTTTGGCAGAGGTTCAAGCGGAAATCGAGAGAATATTCGAACTCGCCAGAACCTTACAGCTCGTAGTCTTAGATTGTGACACAATCAACCATCCTTCGCAACTTGCCAAAACGTCTCTAGCGCCAATTGTAGTTTATCTTAAAATAACTAGTCCGAAAGTAGGTTTCTCACTTTTTCTTTGTGTACAAGTATCAGCACACGATTTATAGGTCTTGCAAAGATTAATAAAGTCGAGAGGAAAAAGTCAAGTTCGGCATATTAATGTTCAAATGGTCGCCGCCGATAAATTGGCACAGTGTCCGCCGGAAATGTTCGACGTAATTTTGGACGAGAACCAATTGGAGGATGCTTGCGAACACATAGCTGAATATTTAGAGGTGCGTTTTAACGTTAGCAATATATCTTTTATTCGCGGTCTGCTATCGATCAGGCTTACTGGAGAGCAACGCATCCCGAGGTAGTTCCAAATGTTACGAGACAAATTGGGAGTTCGCCCCAGGCTTCACCAAGCGGAGAACCCATACACGCTACGTTACCTGGTATGTATATCTGTATGTCTTAGGACTAGCTAACCAACTAATGCTCGTCGCGTCGGTTAAATTGCTACTAACCACCACTAACTTGTTGCAGCCCATCATGATGTTTACGGATATTCACATGACTCTAGAGGTACTTACGCAGGTGTTAGATATATAGGCCTGCAAAGCTGGGATTCAGTAGATTCCTTAGAGTCGCTATCTTTCTTATAAGCACTGCATGACCGTTATGAAATATGCAACGTTTATTGTCATTCTAACGTTTATGGATTATTTCTTTGCATTTTGAAGCCAAAGTACTTTTTAAGCTAAATTTTGATAGGTACTTGCAAATTCGCCCTTCAATCTCTGTAGTAGCATCTTGACTTTTTAAGAGATGGTCATAAAGTATGTAAATTCTGGGTCCAATTTAATATTACCAAATAAATAAAATTTATTAGCAATAATAATCGTTTTCATTATAATCGTTCACAATAATTTTTCAGATTTTACTGGCTCAATGACACCAATTCCGCCTGCATATTAGTGTACGACCATTATATATTATATGATATAAGCAGGTTTAGTTTGCACGAATTTAATACGAATTTTTTCTTTTTCATTTTTAATGGCTTCGCTACGCACGATCGTTGCGCTTTCATGCTAATGCACACGTATTGCATAAAAATTTAAGATGGGGTATCTCCAACTCCTGGTAGAATTTGGCGCGCTGGCTCTACTGACTTATTTGCTTGACGCTGATTTCTTTCTCTGTGTTTTAGTAAGTAATTCATTTCTCTCTTCATCTAACAGTTTTGGCGAATTTGTGTGAATAGTTCCTTTTTCATACATAGTTAGGGCTGTGTATAACGAGAATTTTTGATTATCATTCATTAGTTGTGTAAAGTCGACCGTTCATAACATATGCACTAGTTTGCACTATTTCCAATAATTGTGATCTTTTCGCTTTTACTATTAAAATAAATCGTTCAAATGAACGCATTCGCACTTTAGCACCTATCATGAGTTTCTTAGAGAGTTGGACCGAGTCTTGGTGTTCGAAGTACTGCAAATTTAGTGCATTTGATGGTACCTACCTACGTTCGAAACGACGGGATTATCACAGCCCTAATTCTGTTCCAAGTACGATCGTATCAATAATTCTTATTATACATGACAGGTGGATCAGTGTTTCATACTGCACACAGTCGTGGTCGTTCACGTTTAGAGCGTGATCGTGAATATGAAGATTATTTAGAAAGAGACCCGCAGAGTCATACTTCATCGGTGCCTTCTCATTTAGCAGGGGGTCAAGATTATCGTGAGCATAATTTAGATAGAAATTTACCTCCTCGTGATCATCGAGGTGTTAGAGAAGACGATTTTCCTCCTCATAGAACATCATCAAGAAGAGCCGTTAATGTTATCTAGTGGAGGCTTTCTACGGAACAGCCCATTGAAGAAGAGATTCATGATGACCTCAGTCCTAGAGAAGACGTTTGCTATAAACCTCAGATACCTGAAAATTTTAGAGATGATAGGTTCTTGGACGATCGTCGGCGAGAGCGGGAGCCTAGAATGGCGGAGAGCAGAAGCCGGTTAGACGAGCAGCTGGACGAAAGACGATTGGATGATCGAAGAAGAGACGAACGTCGGTATTTTAGAGAACATAGGTTAGAGAGTCAAACGTATCGTAACGAAGGCAGAAATTACCGCCAAGAATTACTTGACAGGTTTTCAGATATGGACTTTGAGGACCATCATGATTATCGTGATCGTCAAAGGTATTTTGAATAGTTTTATATTTACCAATATGGAAGTGAGTACAAATGTAACTTACTTATGCTTAAGCAATTATACCTGCGCCTTTGATGATTTCCTGCAATGAGGTGTTCCGTATTTGTGAGGAAAATATAAACACTTATGAACTTCTTAAATTTTGACCAGTTTGGTGCCACATTTGAGTATTTATGCTCAATTTTTAATCACTAAATAAACTAAGTTTGTATAGTTATCCAAGCTTTAACGTAGTACTTATAGAATTTTTAACTCATTTGTAAGGAATGATATTGTTGAAAGCTGTATAAATTTACGTATTTTGTATATTGTATGATAGCCTTCTAAAAGAACTGAAATTACACTTCGCAAATACAGTGTTTGATTTAATCACAAATGGTTGTAAGCTGAACTTAAGTGTAGGATCCTGATTTCGAATTAATTTCGTTTAAAAGATCTAGGGCAATGCGTTGTTATTATAAATATTCTTATACTATTAATATGAGGATTGCTTCAGCTTACATACTATTTATAACTATTAATTTTTGTAGTTTTAAACTACCTACGTGATACTGTTGCATATTCAAATTTATTGTCATGCAATGACTGAACTTAGATAAATTATAAACTATTACAAGTTTGCACCGCTCCGCTAGGTATGTTTTATGTAAAAAAAATGTATAAATTTACCTGCATGAAAAAGAGTAAAAGCTTACCCTACATCAATATTTTATCAAAATCCATTGTTAGACAACTCACAATTTTTATTAGCTACTAATACTCAAATTACACAATTAATATATGGAGGACAATCAATTATTGAGTCATAGCTAATAGTTTTGTGTTTAATCAAGTGCAACTATTCTAACTTAACACATGAGAACTTTCGGTTTCATTTAGCTGAACATTTTGATTTCTCCTAAATCCAGGTCTTATTTTTGCTTGTTTCATTCCGCTCCTGAATCTAGAAAATGCTGCGTACGCATCCTGTATATTAGTTAATTGCATAAGAAGGATCTTTGATAATGTGTTCATTAGTATTTTATCTAACTTAAAGTTACAGGAGTAGATAATAAAAATTGTGTACCATAGATATTGAATACAAATTTTAAAACAATAATAACGATATACTTAACGCATGTACCACTACAGGTAACAATGCTGACCAATTCGCTAACTTTTTTTCTGTAATGTCTGGCAGTAATCGCTGTACACAACATTGATTTTCTGTAAGTAAAGTTGTATTAAAACGTTAAAACAGATATGTACGTAGTTTCTTAATTAGGAAGGTTCAAAGATCAGTGCCATTAAATTGACCAAGTACCTAAAATGAATAAATTTCATCAGCACATAATATATACAACTTTGCTATTTTCTTTGTATGTTCGTTAATTAGATAGAGTTTCACGTCCATAATATCAGAATTAGTTTTCGGCGTACTATAAATAGTACCTGTTCCGTGGAAATGTTAGATGTTCTCATGTTAACATGATTTTATTAGATAGCTACTTTGTTTAATGTAGAATACGAGAAGTAACTTCAGGTGCCTCAAAACTCTATTAATGTTCTGATATTAATTGTTGTTTATTAAGGTCGCGGTACTATTTATAGAGCGCCTTCATAATGTACTGTTTTGTAATATCGAAATAGATATTTCCTACGATTGTAAATATCTAATGAAGTTCAAAACTTTGTATCATCTTGCTGTTATAAGTTTCGAAATGATTAGAGTTAATTTCCTCTTTTTTACTAAATACCTTCTTCGGTTATTATTTATAAGAAAGTGCTAAATAAATAAAATATTGACTTATTCTTGGGGAGCAGGCATGTGTAATGAAACTGTCTTAGGGATTGCAATGGTTATGAATACTTCTTCGCGCCTCCGAAGCCGAGGGCGGATCTTATGCATTTATAAACGAGTTGCGATGGCGTGGTGCAACGCTCGCACTCGCTATTACCATACATACCCTTATATCAAATACAGTGCTACTACGGTAACACGTTGAGGCGATTATTTACTGATTGATGTGCACACTTTTCCATAATTTGCAAAATTTCCTTGTCGTTAAAAGATCGATTGGCACGAGTTCAACCGTCTTTATCTCGACACGGACTGCAGTTAATAATCTCATCTCTTATCAAAAGTGTAAGCGCACAAATTCTAGAGAAAATTAGCGCGTGTTATAAGAAATAAAATGTCCGATTTACCGTTTACTCATCTAACTACGGAAATTTTTTGCAACCCCGCATGTGTTGCAATTATCATCCACAAGTAGCCAGTTATAATTTCCCTCCACGCATGCGCAATAGACAAGTTCTTTATTTGTGGAGCAATTTGTTGCAAATTTTTGTTGTAGGTTCTTCTAATAAAATCAAACAAAATGGACACTTATCTAAAGAGGCTTTGGCACCTGACTCACGTACATACTATAGTTTGAAGATCCTTCTGAACCAGATACCTTTTTTTCTTTTTGTCTAATTTTTCCTTCTTTTTGAATTTTTATCTGTAAAGATTTTTGTAAATCCAGTAGCCTGTGTCCTGTTTAAATAGCAGAAGAATGAGTTGTTGGTCCTCTTCATCTGAAAGTTTGTCCACTTGCTCGTATTTGTTGTACCTAAGATAGATATTACTCAATGCGTCAATAATTTTATTCACCTCTCCAGAGAATTTAAGCCAAGCTTAAAAACGAGCGAACTAAAAGTATACTTCTGTTCTTTTGTGTTTCTTCTCCAACATGGGCACGGCAAATAAATTGTATCGTAATTCAAAGAACTGAAATGGGTATTCATTGATATTTCTCTATACGTACTTACTCCAATACCATTTTTCTTTTTATAAAGTACAATAATACAAACAAAATTGTGACCATTATACCAATAACTTACACAATACCGAAAAGGAATCGTCGTCACGTCAGGCCCCGGGTTATATCTGGGCTATAGCCCAGGGCGCTACTTTAGGGGGGAGGGGGGCGCAAAATCTGCTAAATTATATTTTTGTCATTATTTGCAATTTAGATCTGGGCTTGTGGATAATTTTTCTTAAAATAAATGTACTTATCATTTTATAGTAAAAAATTATTGTTGATTTCTGCCAGTGGGACATTCCTCTTCTCTGTGATTATAGGTGCATTTTGTTCCAAAATCGATACAGATAAATAACCCTATGAAGCTCGGTCACTATAAGCACAGAGTGTTTAAATCTGTGTATACAATTTAACTATTATAAACATTATAGTTACGGGGACGCTGAACCAATTAATGTAACCCGGGGCCTGATCGTCGTTTTGAGATTTTTTATTGAGCCTAAAGTTGTGGACTTGAGATCTCTTACCAATTCCCAAAAAGTTAAGATTAGGATATGTCAAATTTGAGAATTAAACTGACAACGGCAAAAGAGGAACCCTTATAGCAATAATAAAAAAGGTATTGTTCTTTTCATATTACCATATAATATAGTAGCACACAACACATGCAACTATTTGGATTGTTCAAAATCACTCCGTCCGCCACTCACACACCAGCAAACACAGTAGAAGAGCTGACACCTAGGTGTCGCCAGGCTGGTGACTCGGGCTGGATCTTGGTTTAGAATCATATTTTTGGAGGTGTTATTCATTTTAAGTGGCAATCACCCCTGTAACGAAGCACCCGGAATTTCTGCATTTAGTTTGCCGTTTACAAGGACCACCCTGTATAGTAACGATTGGTTTGGGCTTCGTTACGCAAGAATACCGTGATATGGAGCATTTTCCGCAATGCCATGGAGATACCGTAATTAATTAGTCCGCCTACGACCGCTCCTGTTGGAATTTTGGAATTATTTTTGTAACCACCGAAGGATGTTGTCCTGGCGTAGATGAGGGACAATTAATATTCTTTGGTTTCAGCGCCGTTAATTATTTATAAGATGTTTTAGATTCCCATAATAAGTAAAATCAAGGATAGAACGAGTTCAAATCTAGTTGTTTACAAGTTTTGCAGTCCCGTCCGTATGCCTGCATGTTGCGATAAAAGTGTTAAAGCGATAGCGCCGTTTGAGAAGAAAAAGTCCAAGGGAGCTAGTTGCAGATTGGATTGATGAGTAGGTACTTAGGTTTGATTACGCTTAATTAGGTAAGCGCTGTTAATTAATGCCATGTTAATGGGCAGTAGTAAACCTTGTCAGAAACCGTCGAGAGAGGTGTCCACAGAGGCGCTGTAATTTTTCTAGTTGTTTGCAAGTTGTCCCAGATTTTTAAGATAACCACAGGAGCAGCAATTAATTAAAAACCGAATTATTTTCTATACCGCTCGGTGCGAATGCAGCGAGGCTTTGGGAATTCCATGTTCCACTTCTACCAAAATGGGTTTCCTTTAAAAGGAAAACGCTCAATTTGGGAGGGATCTTTCTGCTTCATACTTTCGAGTTGTAAGTACGCCTTTTGATTTTTCTAATTTGCGAAACCGTATCATTCCGAATCCACCGAAACCCTTTTGTTTTACCGTTTTCCCTTTTGAGCGACCGTAAGTCAAGCCGTTGTCCTTTCCTTTTCACTATCGTTTTGAGTTTCCCTTTTTCATTACCGTAACTTTTGCCACCGTTCCGCTAATCTTCATTATATTCTGTTCTCCTTGCTTTTCCGCTTTCCCCTAGACACCGCCAATTGATTGCCCAAGTAACACAACGTGCTGTATAATGGCCATCAGTACGTATTTGCAGCTATACTCGCAGCCAAATAGTTTGGCGCAGTTTCTGCGAAAGAAATGTAGCAGCGATGTGAAGACGTACCTACTGCCAAAATGGCGAGTCATAATCAAGCTGCTAAGACGTCACCTCAGCCATTTGGATTGGCAGTGGTGGTTAGAATGTCAAGCAGCAAAAGCGCATCGTTAACGTTAACGTCAGTTAAAATTATGCGCTGTCATAACGTCACGACAGCCAACCTTAGACCATATAGTACATGGACTGCTATTATCCCTATGCTTTCAATACAAAATGGGTGGTCACGGATAGAGGGCACTGTAGTCGTGGGTATGCATAGATATATTTATATATCTATGTGGGTATGTGAATCTCAGGGTAAACTAAAGTCGTGTAAACACCACTCTGATCGCGTAAAGAGTAGCTTTTATGGGAACCGCGTAGTACGGGAAGCTTTAAATACTCTTGATTATCTTAAATACGTCCACAAATAGGGATAGGTTTGCTTTTTTGGCATATCTAGGCGAATAATTAATTGACGTTTGTTAATTTATAGGTTGACAGTCTCAAATCGTGTCTAATCGCACAACTTCGGACAGACTCGTTTACCCTCAAACTCACATACCCAGGCGATGTCCTTGACCATATTTTAGTTACAATTAGCAGTCCATGTACTATATGGTCTAAGCAGCCAACACTGTGACCAAACTGCAGCCAAAATCTGTTTTTATCAAAAAGGAAAAAAAATAAAATTAATTCATTATTGGTGTTTCTGCGGATCCTATTTGTTCCTACCATACACATTTTTTTTATTAGCGCGTTTCATACCGTTGGCAACCGCCATCGTTTTCACCTACACATACTTTTTTTAGTAGCGATTCTCTGGAGGTGGTCGGATTCGAACTCCTGCCTTTACCGTCTATAGAAACATACCAAATTGCGTGCATCGAAATATCCATCTGCGCTAACCTGTAACATGACGAATAGTTCTGAACTCGCGAGTGTTAAGCGAAGCGTTGTTTTTGTTTATTAATAGTAGTGTTTTTAATCATAATTTAAGTGTTTGAGCCAAATTACGTTCAAATCAATGCGCGGAAAACTCATACGATGAGATTCATGATTGTATTCTCCAATGACCGTACATCTTGTGCATCTGTTATATGCATTGAAATTCACAACACCTGCAATTAAAATTTAAATTCTGCTATTTCCTATACCTTAGTATCCTTACCTTTTGCAAATGAACGAGCTGGAGTGTCGCAAATGAAGCATCTCACCTTTAAACTGCATTTTATTCCATTAATGAAAATCCCATTCTTTAAAAGAGGTTTTATTTCTTCTACAAATGGTGTTAAAAAACCCTGAACACTGGGTGGTTTGGTGGTACCACAATAAATGCCCACTACGAATGGATGCAAGTTTCGCATATTGTTTATTAAACACAAAATGGGCCAAAATTCCATTTTTGTACTGTTGTATATTGGTAACCCATCAATATTGAAACTTAATTCTAAATTAGTTACACTATCAATCTTAGGTAGTAAGTTAACAATTCCCTTTTCGAGTCCATTATGCCAA